GATGTATTTTATAATATAATAATATGTATTTTAAGTATACAATACTATTATACTTGCTGAGATTCTAAATTTAATTTTTTTTTTGCATAACCTAAAAATCATTAAAATGTAAGTATTTAAATTAAAACTTATGAAAACTTTTATGTGTTGTAAACCCAACGTTATATTTTATAATGTAAAATATAATTTCGTCACTATTCGTATTTTTTTTCTTATTTTTAAAAAATAAAACTAATGTTGTTTAAACTTTTAACAAACCCAAAGTAACATCTTGAAAAAATGATTCATCTTATAAGGCAGTATATGAAAAAGTTAAGCAGTACAGCGCAAAAACATTTTGGGAAAGTGTTTAAAACATAAAAAAAAACATTTAACGTTATAATATTATAACGAAAATATATTGTCCATTACTTTGAAAGTCGTAATAGATCAAACTGTCAAATATTATTCTTTCAATGATAGCAAAAACGATTTCTTTAAAAAAAAAAAAAAATTGAAACCATATATTTTACAGAAAAGTTCTATTCGAGAAGTTTTATTGATTTTCCTACCATATAGACTGCAACTCTCCTAATTTGTGTTTGACTTAAGGCGGCTCTTAGTGGCTATTATTTAAGGGGAACAATTTAGGCAATTTCTAATCTTGTCGTCGCCGCCCGTAATCTATGTGTTAGTCGTAAATGATTATTAGTGTGAAATTCGAAAAAATTCGAACACGATAACAATAGATTTTATATCGCACGGCTGCGGGCACACGGTTCAATAGCACACGTACGCGCATGCACAAGTCAACGTAATCACTCTCGAAAAATATTTTTGTACACTCACAACAGTGAAAAATGCTAATAAGCTGGCGAAAAATACACATACTTCTAGTAGTCCAATTTCAATTTTGAAAAATTATTTGAATTCGTCAGCCTCTTTTCTATGATTTGTAGGAAACCGATTTTGGATATTTTAGATAATTTACGTATATTACGGTTCCAAATGACTGCTTGATTTCTCAAATTTAACTTGCACTTTTAAGTGCTAACTAGACAAAAAGATGAAAAAGTTTTTCCTACAGATCATAGAAAAGAGGCTAACGAATCCAAATAAGTATTCAAAATTGAAATTGGACTACTAGAAGTATGTGTATTTTTCGCCAGCTTATTGGTCTAAATGCATGAAAAATCCAATCGTTTAGAGCCGCCTTAATAACAACTCTTAAGAATGCAACTATAATACTTATCCATTAATTAAAATAAATGCGCATATTGTTGGTTGAAAAAATGTGTAGTTAGTTCTGAAAGTTAGCACTGTATTTTTTTGTCGTGCTGTAGTTGAGTGCATTTCTAAAAATATTTAAAATTATATTAATTTATGTTTAGGTATAATGCTATTACACATGTAGGTAAAAAATTTATAATTTTCAATAAAATATACATTTCATATACAGCAGACTAAAGCGTTTTCGCTAATGTATATTGAAACAGATATAATATATGTGTAGGTATGTACAATCACCAATTATATAGATATTATCTATAATAAATGGTATTATGTACAGTTGTTAAACACAAACAATAGTAATTGTGTTATTTTTCTACTTTAAATTGTATTTTGATATTTTGAATATAACTCAGCTGTGTATTGTCGCCGAATATATCGAACGTTTTACAAATGCAAAACAGGACGCAGGGAAAAATTAATGATAATCTACTAAACCTTATTATTTTTTAGTGGAAACGTGACATTTGCAAACATGTGTGGCTGTACGGCAGATTAGTAATTCCACTGTTTTTACATGTAGTATTCCAGCGACCCGGGTAATGAGACACTGCAGTTGCAATGGCATTGGCTCTGGAGGTGTATAATATAACGAAAAAACGTACACACACACACATTATATGAACATGCACATTATGCATATATACTAGATGAGGCCTTTTGTTCGAGTACACGGCATAGCCTTTACAACGTGCATAACTAGACATGCACACTTGACAATACTGCCGACTCGACAACTTTGCTCTCTCACTCACACACTCACACTCACTCTCCCTCACACTCACTCTCTGTCTGTTCGGTTTGAGCTGTGGAACAATTGAGAGAGCGCACGCACACTGTCACGTTTCAGAGTAGAGGGTGTTGCCATAGCCACAGGTCGAGTACTCTCTGTCGTCGCCTTTTTTTTTTATATATATATATATGTATAATCTATATATATGTCTCCATAAAGTAGGGCGGAACTTGACGTTGTCGCTTTAAAAAAAATTTCCAATGGGTAATGCATAAAAAAAATCTCTGAAATTCCATGGGTATTAGAGGATAGGTAGGTACTGAGAAAAATCCACTTGGCACCCAAAGACACAGCTTTCAAGTGCCCACTCGTGTAGACATCGAGGGAAATTTTCTTTTGTCAGTTATTTCGACGTGGCCCACTTGAACGAGTCATTTCAAATAAGTTCATTACGCCCTCTAACCCGGACGGTTTTTTTTTATTTTTAAGAACTATACCGTAATAACGGCCACCAAAGCCTTTTCTCTTTTCGTGTAAAAATTATTCTTTTAGATATCGCCCGTGCATTTATTATCGATTTTTTGTTTTGCATAGTACCTATGCTTTAATCAAATGAAATATGTATAATAATAGTATTTAAATACATTCTCAATAGCCTCAAACATAAGGTTTAAAATACGTGTTTTTTTTTATTTAATTTGAAAATAACAGGGTCTAAAAAAAATAACTTTATACATCATACATATCACATAATACTGTTAAAAATCATTCACACGAATATTATAATATTTTAACGACATTATTGTACGATTTCTAAAATTAATAAATATACGATTAGTATACAAATAGAATAATAAATTGCAAATAAATATGATCGAACAAGGAAATTAACCGTGTGGATTTTTTTAATTTGAACAATAATTTATAGTTCGACCTTAAATTTAGATGTTTCAAAAAATACATAAAATCCATTCTTATCAAATAGTTATTCTTTGGCGTTCACTAGAAAACCAAGGAATAACTAAAACACATTTGTGATTTTATCTTTAAACGTTTTTAACTTGACTATCAAACTTTTAACGACTATAAATCACGAAATGTTTTGGTCAAAATTAGACACATAAAAATATAATATATCGTCCTTATCATCGTTATTACAGCTACTTATAATTCTAAAAGAAACACGACGATTTAAACGATTAAGTACATTTACAATATTTTTAGTTAAGTATAATAATAACTCTGCTGCACTGTATATTATGTTGGGTAATTAATAACTCAACAAAATGTAGAGGTAGGGTGTATATGTATAGTATTTTTTAAAAATGAAATAAATATATTTATGACATTATAAGATTTTTGTACGTTCCTATATTATAAATTACAATAAAACAAAAATAATGAACAACCATTGTTATACTATTAATTATAATTGAAAATTAACAGCCGGTCATAATAACGAACATGCTTTTTATTTATTTCAATATTATTTATTTCATAACGAGTACAATGAAAAACAAATTGATGTATATAACCTTGCATAATCTGAACTAAACAAGCAATTATTGATTGTATACATATATATATTTTATAATTGTTCTAGTTTTGGTTGCCTATAGGTACATTATAATACTTAACAATAATTATACTTCATTTTTGGGAAATGTTGAATACTTTATTCCCACAAAATGAATTAAAATGATTGAAATGTCCGCACGCACTGGTGTTCGAATTGTTTCCGATCGCGAATTGTCCTGATCTTTTGTGCACATTTCGTTTTGGTCGGATACAGATTTCTTCTTTTTTTTTATCGTTTTAATCCCGCGGGCGCGTTTCCGATGCACCACGCCCGGATGTCAGTTATTTACTTCCGGTTGGGTTCAACATAAAGGACGCAATCAAGTCACGGTGAACAACACCCCCAACGCCCAGCCTTGCACAAAATTGTTAAAGGTCTTTCGAGTCATTACAAAAAGAAAGAAAAAAAAGCGATCGTTTACCGCCGCCACCGTTGATGGAATATGAGAAAGACGGCGACAGTGGCGGCTTCTACCAATGAGATTGCGTCGGATAATCACCGATAGTCTTTCCAAAGACGTTCGTATTAATTCCACATCGGCTTCCGTAATCGGATATATTCTAGAAAGTTGTTATCAGTGATGAACACCGGTGAAAAGTTGCTGTCATTCACAGGAGTCACGTATTTCCCAGCCCCTTTGTGTACGCCGGTTTTCCAATTATTAAACTAGTCTTTTTGTGACGGTTTTAACTATTTATCTCTGCGTTTTTCAAATCATCTTCTCCTTGTTCGCATATACTAGTCTTGGCAGGCGCCTATGGAAACGGCGGTGACTTTCTCATGCTCTCGAGTTGTACAAACGCGCAATTGATAAAAAGGTTATAACGGGAAATCCTCGGCGGTGGCGTAAAACTTATCCTCTCGGTTTGTCGTATATTATTTCTTAATTTTATCCCAACGGCCGGTTCGTAACCGATGTTTGAACTGTAAGTGATCTCTTCCACGTCCTTGCGGGATTTTCATTTTCGCTACCCAAATTTATTCTTACGCAATTAGCATTCTCTATTGCACACAACTTAATTTATTTTGCGGGTAACAAATATTTATTGGTTTTGATCGGAACAACGGTTTAAAGTACTTAACGGTTTTGGTTTTACTCAATAAGATTTCAAATATAAATTTCTTTTAAGATTTTTATTATTATTATCATTATTGACTTTAAGTTTTGACATTCATTTTGTTATATTATAGCTTTCTTCTGCTATATACTTTACCTTTCGAATATTAGGTAATATACAAAACAACTCATTTTATTACATGAGTTAGTTACTTAATGTGTTTATTGTTGTATGTCTATGAGTTACATTACTTATGATTACTGCATAATGCATATACACAACTATAAGATTTTTGTTTTTAACTGCCTGCAATTATAATATCATGGTTATAATTATTTATTAATTCCTTTTTTTTTTACAGATCGATCCGAAAGTGGCATTTCCGCGACGAGCACATCCGAAGGTAAGTGAACACATTAACATTATTTTCTTTAATTTATTGTCCTTTATTATATTAAATTAAAGATAATTTATGTTAAGTTGAAAATTTTCCCCGGTAAAACAAAAATAAGATTATGAAAACGGTACGACAAAAACTGTGTACTTGTCTCTCTGATTTATAGGTATGAGTTAATTTTTTTAACGTATATTTCCATTATATAAGCCAAACAACTCGTGCAACATTGTTAAACGTTATTTCCATAGTGATGTTTAAATTATTATGCCCGCAAGGAGACTATAGTAAAATTCATCTGGTAATAACTGAGTATACGTTCGAACGTATTCATATATAGATAAAATACTATTCGACGTAATGAAAATAAATATGTTATTACATACAAATTGCCGTTTATAAAATCTTTATTTTGGCATATATATGTTTTTGGACTCGGTACAGATATTTATTTTCAACCGATTTTGTTGTCATGGTTACTTATTAACAAAAACATACTTTGAAGAGAAAAAATATCGAGTAGCGTGCCATAGTTTTTTGTTATTAACCATATAAACAGTCGTAAAGTACCTAAAATATGATAATAATAATCATAGAATATTATTTTTATAAGGTAGGTATAGGTAGTTTAATTTATAAAGATTTTTGGTTTTATAATCGTATCTATTATTACTTGTACACCGCCGCTGTAGTAGGATGTTTACATTTAATTATAAATGAATACAAAACTTTAAGACGTCATGAACCGGCGAAGGGTTAAAACTTATAACTTATAACGAATATAATATTATATTATATTGGTGCGGCTATCGTTTTAACTAACGATTTAACGGTAAAATAGCCGCCGACTAATGATGAAGTATCGTAGCTTTATTAATTTAATTAAGTAAATATTTTTAAAATTATAATTATTTGAGTTTGTATATGGTCAGAATCTCCATTACCTATTATACCGTGGCTATACATAATCATATAGACATATATTATTATAGTAATTATTATAATATAATATCATGGGACATTTCGGTATAATAATGACGTTTAAGCGTCCGTTACAGTGAAACCAAAATATATTTATTATAAATCTTTTAAAGGTGTAATTTTACCGATTTTCCGGTACAGTATTATTATTTCTTATCGTTTTATAATGCGAATCAATAATATTGGGTAACCCATGGCAATACGGTTAGAAATTCACCAGAAACGTAACATGAATATAGGTATACAAACTCTTTAACATGCCGGCTGTACTTTGGCCATGCATCATAATATTACACACATTCCCTTACATAATGTATAACAAAAACGTACGAAAAACCTGTACAAAGGGTTACTTACACTTGACGAGCTAAGAGATATGTAGTTTGGGAAGAAAAAGGATGAATTATTTAACCAACGTGATCTTCCTACTGAAAACGACGTGTATTTTTATATATATATTTATATTTTATTATTTATATTTTCCTATTTGTCGTCTTTTCGTAGACAAGAAAGACGCAGTGTACATTTTCTAGTTATATTTTCTAGTAGGCACCTCGTTCAATTCCAGTGCGTTAAGCATCTACAATCTACATATTATAGAAAAGGTGTATAAACTGCATACAGAACAATAATATTATGAGGGTTTTATTATCAAAATTAAGTCTGCAGTTGAACTAAAATACTAATCTCAAGACCTTATTATATTTCAAATAATTTTAAATTGAAAATTATTTGTGATTATGATTTGTGATAGTGATTTATTGTAAATTGTAACTCGTATTTGATTGGTATATGATATTTACTATAACTTGATTTGACATGTACAAATAAAGAAAAGTATAATATTTACCACTTTCGCTATGTACAGTAACGAAGTACAGATATACTTTATACGATTTAGATCATGTTATTTTAAACTTTTAGTCGATGATACATTGTTTTTCATTTCTTGCCGACTCAATAATGGTTTAAAAAATTACTATTGTCCCTACAATATGTTTAATGCACCCTTAGTTCAAATATTGTATATTATATAACATACATTAATTGATAGGTAGGACTTTGGCGTGGTTGAAAAATAATACTATAATGCTCGTCGTGTTCTAATAAGTAAACTGCAATACGCTTTAGTTTCTATTTCTACTTACGTAAAAAATCTAATTACTGCGACTGGTGTAACGTATCGTGTAGCGAATAATATTAAAATAAAATGCATTGTCCGTGTCAAGTCCAAACGAATCGCTTATTTTGCGAGTACATAATAACAATATAATATCCATGTACCAATAACATACTTTTAATGGCCTTGCATTTGCCTATAAGCTAACACTGCTGCAGTTATTGTCTTATGGCAGAGTGTGGTGTATTCGATAACAATGGCATTCGTAATGCAGGCAAAAATATAAAGAAAAAAGAGTTTAAGTAAATATATTTATATATGAATAATTTTTTTTGTTCTTTACAAAGATAATAGAACGAGATTCGAATACCGTTCGTATATGCATTTTGCAAAAGGGTTTCCTGCTCAGGGGAGCAGGCAGACACTCCGGTTCGTCCTGCACATATTGCCAATATTCCGAAATGCTGCCGGGCGTACATACATTATATTGTAGGTGGATTTCTTGGATACCTCGTTTTTATTGAAAAGTTCAAAAGCCGGATGACTTGTTGTTTAATAGAAATAATAATAATAATAAAAAAAAAAAAAACCAGAAATTTCGTACACATAAAATGTATGTGTGTGTGTGTGTGTGTGTGAGCACCTAAGCTACACAACGATATACAAAAGGAAAATAAAACACCAGCGGTTTTCCATTTGTATACGTTCCAAATGTAATTTATCCTCAATTTCACGCAAGAGGTTATTCAAATATGGTATATATTTTTTTTTACGTCTAATATCGGATGTTTTATTCACAATGACCATATTGCTGGGAATTTTTATCGCCGGCGTAGACTGCGCCTTCAGCCAGCACCTCCGTTTAGCGGTTTTATCATATTATATTATATACCTATAGGAGGTACCTATGTGTGTGTGTGTGTACAACGCTGTATACATATTATATGTATATATATATATATTGTTCTAGTGTGCCGTCTTTCAATTTATTTCTCCGGCACAGCAACGAAAGTGGAAATTTCTTGTTAATAAATTAAACCCTTAGTAATTCTTTTTCCGCGCACGCCGCCGTGCAGTTCGAATTTCGCTTCTTTTCTTTTATTTTCTTTTATTTATTTATTTTTTTTTTTGGCGGGCCAAGACACGAAAACGGAAATTATTACCGAGCAATATAAATTCCATCGGAACATTACACGACCGTCGCTGATAATAAATCACCGGTCGTTGTCAAGACGAGATACAATTAATATGATATTTTTTCCTCTCCGTCGCCGTCGTCTTCTTCTAAAATTAATACTGGCGAATGATGTTATGACGGTGAAACGAACGAAAATAATCCGACTGCGACACGACCTCACGGGCGCCGCCGCCGTCACCGCCAACTCGTTTCCAACACTCTTCTGGTTCGAGTGAATCATTGTTCAGCCAGCCACTATATACACTGTTTAATTTAATGGGACATTGGAGTTTTGAACTTTAGCCCAATATGACAGCTATTAAGTTTTGTTTTATTGACCTTTGCAAAACCATCCTATAACCTTTATATTGGGGCTAGTCTCGCATTTTGTCTGTATCTCGTATTTAAAATGCAAGTACACCTATTATATTCATTATTCATACGCTCTACAATGTACTTCTATAAAACACATAATGCATAATAATATAATACAATGAGGAACATAATATTGTATTAATCAATAACCATCATGCAACATATAGTAATAAACGTAAAATATATTTACCGTAAGTTTAATTTTTGTCGTATATTTCTATAATATGTATGTGAATATAGTTAATACCATAATTGTGAGAATGGCAGATAAAATAGACGAATATTGTGGCTCGAAATTGCCAATTTAAAATTATTTATTATTAAATTAAATTAAATTGTAGACCAAGGTTTTTTTTAATTATTGAAAATAAACATATTGTACCTATTTACCTTCTGATGCTAGATGAATTTTCATAAATCTATAATCCACACATCAATCTGGTACGGTGATTTGCATTTGCAAGATATCAATCAATACGTATAAGCTTATATATCTCAGTCGAAAATTTAACAATTATTTTAAAGGTCATGGATAAAAAAAAACCTTTACAACTATAATTTATAATGTGATAACTTATGGACAATTTAATCTCTCTTGCTGAAAATAAACTCATTAAACACATTGTACACGTCAGGTGTTTATGACAATCATATAATTTTTTTTGAATTTTATATCGGTGTCCTTATAGTAATTATATTATTTCAACAGCCTTTTTCCGTTAGCCGATTAATAGTAGAATTTATAAAAAAATATAAACTTACCAGCAATAGTTGTCTGCTGGGGCTTCATTCCTGTGTAATATAACACTTCCCGTATAGCCTTCAAGCCTGCAACCCTATATGGTGTTGGGAATGTCTGATAGGATTTAAATTTATGATGTAACCTAACCATAATAATTTTAGTTATCACATCACAAGTATTTCAACATAATATTATACTTATGTCATTCTACATAATTTAAAAAAGTAGTTCTGTTTCATGCATTTTTTATTCATTTTAACATTTTTATTTTTATATTATTTTGTTGGTATAAAATAAACTATTTTATTTTAGTGAAATATGTTCTGAAATAAACTATATTTACATAAAGGATTTACTTTTAGAATAGAAGAATACAATTTTAAGTATAAACATTCAAATTACTCAACGAATAGGTATAATTCGAAAATGTCATACATTTTTTAATTATATTTTTGTCTTTTATAATATAAACAAGAATGTTTTGAAAATACCTTTGATGTCATTGAAGTTTTATCATTGGTAAACGACCATTGCTTTGAAATTTCACTCTGTGTCTATTTTGTCGATCTTTGAGTAGTAAATACTTTTCATGTTAGTCTAATTGGAACCATTGA